CATGGAACCATTTCAAAATAATGCTTAATAACAAAGTTGAAATTCGACCTTCAACTGTTAATATCTTCTAGAAATTTTCGAAAAAAAAATTTTCAATATTTTTCTCGTACTCCGCAAGTGAGCCTCTATCACCCCTTAAAAGAAATGACGCCAATTTTGAATCACCCTGTATAGAAAATTTAAAACACTTATCGTGGGTCTAAAGCTAAAAGTGACAGTCGAAAATTGCCGTCTTTGTGTCTGTTGAACCAAAGTTTTAGCTTTAAGCCCCCGTTATACACCTACCTAAAATAGTTTAAACAAATTGTACATTTAATCTGAGAATGAAGTGTCCGTACGAGAAGAATCAAACATCTCATAACCAGATTTCCTACGCATAACTATGTATGTTAAATAAATATCATTGGTTGTAGCAACTAACAAAATCTCGTTGACATAATTAACTGTGACAATTACGTGTAAGAAGACGAAACTAAATTCATCTAAACACATCAATAATGGCAGGTACCTAGTTTGGATGGGTACTAAAATTGTTAATTCATTCATAGGCCCTGAGCGGAATGGCGAGTCAAAAATCCGGAATTTGCCCGATGTGTAAAACGCAAATTTGTTATACGATATGCAGCATGTGGGGTGGGTAGTCACCTTAACCCCAGTCGAGCTTAGGGCATTCATGCTGGGTTCCATTTCAGTGCAATGTCAAATGAAGGTCACCCAAGTGTACAGCGTTGCAAGGTTCTCCTTTTTGTGTCAGGTATGAAAAGATAAGAAAAAATATATTTGTGTATTCTAGGCCCTGGGAACTTGATGTTATTTACTGCAATTTTGCTTTAACAGGTTTGAACGATTAGTGGCAGTAAAAGTATAATAACACTAAAATGGATTGCATTGAGATTCACATTAATTAGGTACCTACTTTATGTCGTATAAATGTCATCATTTTCAGTGCTAATACAGCAAGTAATTCGGATGCTTGAATCTTTATTATACTGCAATAAGGCCCAAATTGATTACATGGAAAAAGGGGGTTGAGAAGTGGCGGGGGTGAAATAGCAACTCAGCGCAAGGATGTTTCCCTTAAATGAATCCATCTGCTGCTGCAATAGTTGTCGTATGCTGTAAACATTACTGCAAAGTCCCAGATTTCCAAATGAATAATTGACTATGTACCTGCCTATACAGGGTGATTCAAAATTGGCGTCATTCCTCTGGAGGTGTTGTCTGGCGCTGTTATAGAAGTACAGAAAAAATTTGCAAAAAACTATATCAGAAATATGGCAGCAATGTTTTTCAAGGTAATCTGCCTAATTGTAACATT